CTATTTATATATATATATATATATATATATATATATATATATTTATATATTTAATATTTTATAATTACATACGAAAATTCGATGTATGAAAGGAATACAATGGTGTTAAATAATTTAAATATAATAATTCTATAATTTCTGAAAAAAAAAACGATAATAACGAAAATATTCAATGGAAAAACTTGTTTTATTCCAGAACGCCGGAACAGTGTCCCAGCGTGGTCTCACTGTTGGCAGAGAGCTACAATCCTCACGTAAGATACGGAGCAGCAATGGCTCTAGGAATCGCTTGTGCTGGCACCGGTCTCAAGGAAGCCATAGCCCTTTTAGACCCAATGACGAACGATTCGGTGAATTTCGTCCGCCAAGGTGCTCTGATCGCCTCTGCGATGATTCTGATTCAACAAACGGAGGCCACCTGTCCACGTGTCAAGGATTTCAGGGCATTATACGCGAAGGTCGTGGTGGACAAGCACGAGGATGTAATGGCGAAATTCGGCGCCATTTTGGCGCAAGGGATCATCGATGCTGGTGAGTACTCGACGATTCTTGGGACGTTAAACCTGGTCCTTTTCGATGCTCTTTCCGATAAGACTCTTAGCTGGAAATATGATACAGATCGTCGATCAAAGAATTTCTTATTTCGAGGCAGTTGTCGACAGAAAATAGCGAAATCGAAGATCCTCCGTTGAACGTTGGTCGTGATGGTGTTATTGGAGCATTGTTCAAAGAATTGACGAGGATGTTGACGAGCTCCTTCCGTTACGATCGATGGATTCAACGTGTTCCGATGGTAAACGGATTGCGGATTTGTTTTATTTGTAATAGTCTTCGTATTTTTTTTTTTTTTTTTTTAGATTTCGATAAAATTTTAAAACAAACGATTTACGAATATTTCTCTCATCGATATTTTTATTATACGATATAGTTTTCGATAGCATCTTTTTAAACGAATTCTATTCGATCGGAATATCGAGATTGAAGATGAGATTGAAATTTTAAACTTATTATATATAAAATATGGATCCAATTCAATAAAATCATCTTTAATGATGTTTTAATTTAATGGTCACCGAATTGAAACAGAATAATAAGTAATTAAATCGGATAATGAATAATAATTATTCTATAAACAAACAAATAAGGAATTTAAAAATTATTTAAAGTAAATTATTGGTTCGTCGATACGATCTACTCAAGAAAGGAAATATTTTATATTTTACAATAACAATAAACATTTTACGTTTTAATTTTAATTTCATTCCAGGTGGTCGTAACGTGACAGTGTCACTGCAATCGAGGACAGGCCACACGAACATGCTCGCAGTAGTCGGTGCATTAGTGTTCACCCAGTATTGGTACTGGTTCCCATTGGCCCATTGCTTGGCACTGGCCTTCACCCCAACTTGTCTGATCGCTCTGAACGCTCAACTAAAAATGCCAAAGCTGGAATTCCGCTCGAACGCCAGACCAAGCGTCTATGCCTATCCTGCACCCCTGGAGGAAAAGAAACGCGAGGAAAGGGAGAAGATCACCACTGCGGTTCTCAGTATCGCCGCCAGAGCGCGTAGACGCGAATCTGAGAGGCGTGCACGTGATTCTCACGAGAAGATGGATGTGGTTGGTATCTCAATTTATAATATTATTTTCAAATCTTTGGAAAAATTCTTTTATCCTTTTTCCTCTTAATACTAATATATCGTATTGTATATTTTCAGTACTTTATAATTTATACTAGATATCTTTGTTTTTTATTTGGGTAGAATTTCATTCTGTAAAATAAAAGAGAATTAATATTATTTCATCTTCATTAATACTAAAAGATATCACGAATTTTATAATTTAACTTATATTTGGATACTTTAGGAATTCTACAAAAAAATTTTATTCCACATTCTTTTTATTTTTATTTTCGACCATAGAATCTTCTCTATCTCATTTATATACGAGATAATCATCAACTGTTTATCTTTCAAGCTGTTATCATTCGTTCTCCCAACGAGAAGAGATCGTTCCCTGTTACATTGATTGACGGCGAAGCTTAAAGATAAACGATGCTTCCGCTCAGATTAGAGATTTCTCGTTTCCGTCATGTTTAATTTTTAATCGCAGGATCCGCCGGAGACGGTGAAGGAGCCGGTCGAGGCGGCGGCCAAGGAGAAAGAGGAGAAGAAGAAAGAGAAGGAAACTAAAGACGTGAAAGAAACGAAGGAGAAGGTGGAGAAGAAGGGCAAGGAGGAGGGCGAGAAAACGACCGAGAAGGAGAAGAAGGAGGCCGAGCCCAATTTCGAGATCCTTCAGAATCCTGCTCGTGTGCTGAGACAGCAACTGAAGGTGATACAGTTGGTGGAAGGAAGCCATTATGTGCCCGTCAAGGATATTCAGATCGGAGGCATCGTGATGGTGAAGCACATCCAATCGGATACCGAAGAGGAATTGGTGGAACCAGTGGCCGGTAAGTCGATATTATTTTTCTTTTTTTTCTATTTCTATTTTACGATTTTTCTGATGCTGCAACCTTGTGTGTAACGAGGATTTATTAATTAATTTAACGCGTCTTCGATGCAAACACAGTTATGCAAAAATGCAAAATGGCTTTTACAAAACGTCGTTTTTGTAATAATAGTATTTACAATAGTTTCTTTATCTTTCATTTTATTATGCTGTATTAAATGTACAAATGAAAAACTTTAGTTTCAGAGAAAAGTAATTTTAACTTAATTGAATTAGTCAAGCTAGCAATTAAAATAATAATATCTTCGAATTAATCGTATTTTTATTTTTAATTCGATAAATTTACAATAAAAATTACTGAATGAAGAAACGACAAATCATTTTACTCGATTCTGTTAACAACTTCGTGTGAAAATTCTTCTCTTTTTCGTCGATAAAAAATCATTTATCGACGAAAAAGAGCTTACTATGAATGGACGATTAAAACTACAATCTCTTCCCTTCATCCACATTTTCCTTAAGACGATTTCAACTCGGAAAATCATTACGCAAACTCAATTATTCAATATCTGTCGCACTTCGTTAAATTCCTCTTCTTTTCATAAGAAATTATCCTCACATCTGTGATTATCATTCTGTTCCAGCTTACGGTCCTCACCCGGAAGAGGAGCAAGAAGCGGAACCACCAGAGCCATTCGAGTACACCGAGGATTAAACGAGAATGCGTCGCAGAAAACTTTACTGTGGCTGCCAACGTCGCAATGCAAAATCATTTGTTCACACACTTGAAATAGTTCAGTAGAAACGACACGAGAGAGAAAAAAAAAAAGAAAAAAAAGAAAAAAATCATCGTCATTTCCGTTTCGCGTAACGCTTACAGCGATACTTCCTGTCTTATTTTTATATAATTAATTCTTCGCCACTGAGTGGCTGTTTCTTTATATTGTTCATTCATCCAAATAGTGCTCTGTTTCTTAATTATTAATAAATATATATATAATTTGCTCTGATCGTATGCTTGTCATTTATTGAACAACCTTTCCTTTTTAGAGTAAAAGAGGCGAATATTATCGAGAGTAATGCGACAAATTTTGTTCGTTTTTGTAGTTTTCGAATGTTCAAAGTAACTTTTTGATAACTCTTTGTTTTTTTCTTTTTTTTTTGGAAATACAGATATGAAATTAAAAACTGAACTTTATAAAGACTACTC